TAAAGAACGTATTGGAATGAAAAGGGGTAGCCATTCTTGTATTCCATGTGATGATAGCTAAGTGAAGCGAGTAAAAATGAAGTAAGTAATAGCAAATAAGTCACCTGACTGCTGGCAGGGGTAAGACCATGCTCCCCCAACTCACTAGAAAGGACTTGGAAGGGGTCAAAGTTTTCTAAAGCCTGTGAGAAGGAAGCCGACTTGGAAGGCGCGCTCGCAGCCGCTAGAAATGGACCGACTTTGATATGGGGAGTATATCTTACCGGATAGAAAACCTTGGACTGGATCAAATTGGGATTGCAGCATTTCAGCCCTCTAGCCTCGGGACACAAGCTTGTCCTTCCGCCCTGTCTTGTGTTTTGTTTGTTTCGGATTAGCCGTGCTGTCATCTCGTCTCGTCTGGATGGCGCGTGCTCCACCGGTGGCGAGTGGCTTGATGCAAGTAATCTTGCTCGTGCACCGGCAGGGGCGCTGGACACAAACCCGGGCGGTTGGGCAAGGTAAAAGGTGAAGGCGGAAGTGGAACAGAATAGGCCAGTTGCGCGCGCTGCACTGCGCTGGATGTCGTGTGTGGGGTGCTTTCCAGGCTCTTGCATGCATGTATCGTCTGCTCGGTCAAGGTCGATGATGGCGGTCATGATTCGCTGGGCGAGGAAGATGAGGGGCGAGTAGAGTAACGGGGCAGGTTTGTATGTATAAAACTGCGTATGGATACATACATGAAGACAAGCTGGGGCATTATGTAGCTGTACTTGAGATTGGAATATTCCCTGGACGAGCGAGCTGGCTGCAGATGGATGAAGATGCTTGCGACGGGCTTGCGATGCTGCCTTGGCCAAGCTGATGACTTGGGTTTTGAGGGGTGGAGGATTGGTTCTGCATTAGCTCATCTTATCTTGGCACAGTGCCTCCTGAATCCCCTTCCCCTGCCTAATCCCACCCGCCTGAATTACGCGCGCTTGAATCCGCCACTCCAGAGTCCTATCCTACCCGCTTATCAATTGCATTAACTTCAACCAGTGCGCTGTCTCTTCGGTCGGAAACTCTTGATCGCTTCAAGGCGGTCGTCTTCCTTGCGCTGCATGTCCGCCGTTCGATCGACCAAGTCAAGGATAGCTTGCTTCGAGACGCTCACGGGCACAGCGGTGGGTAGGTCGGGATGGAAGTCGCTGAGGAAGAATTCGATGGTGTTGACCGCCGTGTCGTCGTTGTTGCTTGCGCCGTCATTCGCGGCGGCGCGGTCTTCAGTCGGAGGATTGAGGAGACTGTTTCGAAGGACCATGTCGCGGATGACATGCACTAGACCTTGCTGCTGCTTCCCGTCGCCCTCAACTTGAACGTAACGCCATACATTGAGCTTGACACCGAACTGGCCATCATGGTTGACGAGACGGACCTTCGGAGTGCGATATTCGACGGTCAGGCAGACTGCGCATCGTATCGCACCCTCATAATGAAGCATGATTCCTGAGCGTAAGACGTGTTTGATTAGCCTTAGCAAGGGAGTGTTGGGAAGGTAGAACGACGCAAGGGGGGAAGAGAAAAAAAGGGCGGTAGACAAATTTTTCGCTTACTCTCAATTTCCTCAGCTGGCGTTCGGTTGGAGAACTCAATTTCAAAGACCATGTATGGGAGCGACATGTTTTTGATGTGCCTGATGACACCGTCGACGGTCTTGATCCGTGAATCGAATTCCTGGTCGCTTTCCTGGTCACTCTCTTCCAACGGAGGTTGAGTGGCGACCCGGGGATTTTCTGATCGACGCGACCGTGTCATCACCTTGGCCGTGTGCTCACCGTCCACATCAGACTCTGACGGCACTGTGTCCACCATGCCCAAGTCGTCCGGAGAGTAGTCGCTGTCGGAGGAACTAGGTATGTTGATTGGCAGTCTCTGTTCTTTTTCGACTTCGAGGTTTGCAAGAATTGCGTTGTGTTCCGTTCGGCCAAGGCGGGTGGCCGTTTGCTTGGCAGTGTCGAGGAGGAGTTGAGGTAAGCTTCGCTTGAGCTCTGAGTGGAGCTTTGACTCCGACATGGTGAAAGCAAGTTGACACAATGCAAGCTGGTAATCCCAAAGAACAATCTGCTGCTGAACATAGGATCTAAGCTTGTCACCATCTGCTTGGCCCATGTTGCTGTAGCATACATGAGTTGCTTGGGCGGCACCCCGTCCACCACTGCTGTTGGAGGTTGACTTGATAATGTAGCCCGGGATATCTTCACGCTGCTCTGGCTTGTAGAGGTACTCCACTAGCAGATCGAACTCGGCCGGCGACATAGGCATGACAACCATGCTCTCGAGATCGAGGGTGCCATTGCGAAATTGTTCTAGGGCCATGAGAGCCTTTGTCACATTGCGAGGTAATGTGCAACTCTGAAAGCAGCCATTTTTTTGCCTCACACAGCTGTCACAGCTTGAGGTCTCAGGACTTTCGTCATTGCCATCATTCTCAATCCCGTTGTGGCCAAGGGCACTGTCACCGGAGACCACAAGCTCTGGCTGTGTCTCTAAGAAGAATTTTCCAACTTCATTCTTCATTTCTAGATGACAGTCTTCTTTCAAAGAAGGTAGATCAGCATCAGCAGTAGGAGGTGACGTGGGGGTGAGCTTCTTACCTTGTGTTGGAGAATCCACGTCCTTTGCATCAGATGTCACGGTCGCATGCGTGCAGTCATCAGCATCGTCGACTGCTGTGGCCTTCACATCCTCCAACTTGGGATGCGCCATAATTGCCATCCTCCTTGCAGAATTCGCACCCTTCTTTCCGGCCTTGTCTGGTTTGTTGTTGGAGATGTTTGTGAAAGCTGCTTGCCTATCATGTGGGTGCGCCATGGGGGTGAGGCGCTCGGACCACATCGGGGCCCGGAGTAACCTGGCTTCCTTTCACCTCTCCCCCCTTTATTCAGTTAGGAGCTCAGGGACTATCTCACCAGCAGTCAGCCAGGCCATCAGGGTTTCACCCTGCTAGATCCTTGGCCTTGAAACCTGTAAATAGAAAGCTCGTCTGACTTGCATTGTTGTAACAGATCAACTGCATTAGACTTCCCTATTTTGTGATCAAAGAAGCCATACCGAGGGTGGATGAGTCTGTATTTGCAAATCTGCTTACAAGACTTCAAAGATGAATCAGGAATTGATAATTTTACATGAAGTTACACAATATGGACAATGGTTAGATTATCCGAAGATACCAGCACTGGAGTCTTCAATTTGCAGCGCAGAATTGTGCCACGCCATCTTAAGACCACTGTGACCAAAAGAAAAAGAGACACAAACGCGACACTTTCAAATGCAATACAGAGCAGTCCTTCTTTTTGCCACATTTAAATTCGCAGTAGTTACCTGACGAGATTGTTCTGATTTCCTCCAGACATCTACATTGCACTCACCAAACATGCGAACAAACTTACAAACTTCCTGGCCTTTCTCCTCTCTCTCTCTCTTGTGTGAGCGATTATCATTGTGCAGCAGACTGTCTGCCTGGCTGAGGAGTGGAAATCAATTTCGTCATCATCTTCATCGTCGTCGCTGTCGCCATCGCAGCAAATGCCGGTCCTGCCCCACAGTCCGGTCATCGAGGGTTTTTGCAAGAGCTCTCTTATCGTGCCAAGTTTCAGCCCCTTTCTTTCCCTGAGCAAGGGGAGATTCCTGTCCGTTACTATAATGATTCTCCGCCGTTTTAACGTTCCTTCTAAGGCCAACAGTCTTGCCTACTGCCATCGCCGTTTCACGTTGCTCTACGTTGAGATTCCGAACGCCATCGATGTATCAAGCAGATGTAAGCAATCGTCAGCAGATGGTTGACCAGGTCCCGTGGGGAATTCCCATGGGTTTGTATAGCACCTTAGCTTTCTAGCGCCCTGGGAGTACTTGGGCACTCCAATACTCTCCCCAGTCTCATTTCCCTGTCTTCCATCTCTTCTGCTGACAGGCGTTTGTTTCCCGTTTTTAGTCATTGATGCCATTGACTGCATCGCTGAGGTAATCGATGCAAACCCTTGGAACAGCAATGGCTTCCAGCAGGCAGGTTACCTCGCTGTCTCCGATCCCGCCACGGGCGCCTTGACCACCGTACGTCTCGTGAACCCCCCTGCTAAAGGTGCTGCAAACGAGAGGAGGTAGCAGCCATCGTCGATGCCCACTCAAGACTTGTCGACACGTGTAGTCGCAATGTACCTGCCATGGTCAAGACGAATGCCATCGAAACTCGGGCATATGGTAGGTCTACCTTCTGTGTCGACGTCTGTGGCTGCTGTGTGCCTCACTATCCAGCTCCTTAGTGTCTGTGTCAAACACTGCCAAATAAGCTTGTATGTACCTTTACTCTTCTGCATTTTGGTCTTCTGTGACATCTGTGGAACTATAACATGGCTGACCTTACGTCCACAACAGAGTCCAGCATCCAAGATTTAACCTAAGGAACCCAGCATTCGGTCGATCAGAACAGAGGACAAGACTGCCGTCATCTACCCTTGCCTGTACTCGTTGTGGTAGCGAGCACCGGCAAATCAAGTTCGCATAATGGATAGTGCTCTAGTTGATTCATATTGCAAATGCTTAAAGCATAAATAAGACACGATAGCATCCCCTCCTGAAGGGGATGGGTAGTGCGAGGATTTGCTAAGCATGGCGTGAGTTGATGCTCTCTTGATGCCCGAGCATATGCTGACTCGCCAGATCTGTATGGTCGGGTGCCTACCCAGTTCAGATGCCCAGCCTTGGCATTGTGAATTAATTATTCTAGTGACTACTAGACAGAGTGTTCTATATCTGATCTCTGTGTGAGGTCGGCAGCAGAGCATATGCACGGCGGCGGCGCATCGAGGGTGTCTGCTTGGATGTCATCGGTGGTGATGGTGATGATGTGCCGGCAGCTGCAGCAGTCTTGCCATCGTTCCCATTTCTCGTGGCAACAAGGCTGGCAATGCTGCTAATATTTGAATGGTAGTAATAGCAATCCCCTCCCCGGTTCTTTCTTTGCACCATCGACTTTCCCTTCCTGGTGCTGCCATTGCTGTTCTCCGATGAGCTGCTGGTTGAGAAAGTCCCCTCGCTTTTTCGCGTCCCGTGGAGCAATAGTCTGCTGTCTGATCTGCTCTGCCAACTCCGTCCCCATAAGCCAGCCAAGGTCCTTCTTGGAGAGGGTGCCCAGCCATCTGCGGTAGGCTGTGTGGACCTCGTCCGCATGGTACGGCTCTGGAGACTTGACGAGCTTGCCTATGAGGGCTTTCAGTGCCAGGAATTGCGGCTGCTTCTTCGTCGCGAGAATGGCGGCGATGGATCCGACGAAGCGGTCTGGATTTGAAGTGCCGGCGCGGCAGAGAAGGAGTTGATGCTGGATTTGCGAGATATATAAGATACTCTACAACGTTATATATAGCTACTATAGCTACGATAACTACTATAATATATTTAAGAATATTATAGACTATATCAACAAGTTTCAATACTAAGACAAGATATACTGGTTAGTATCCTAGGCATTTGACAGCAAGATGTTCTAAATATAGTATCTAACTACTATAGAGAAGATAGTCATAGCCTTGTTAGTTATCAATTATGATGCTAAGGACTTAGTAGAGTAAAATTTTCCGACAATATTTAAGCTTTCTGTCGTTATATAAAAGTTGGCTGATATTATGGCAAGCATAGTAATTGTCACAGGTTGCGAACCCTACATGATGGCTTCAGCACCTTTCAGCCTTACATACATATAGCAATCACCCAAATCACTACCACCACCCACACAAGACCGTGGTCAAAGAACGGAATATATTTAGAAGCTAATCAAGCTTTGGAGAAATAGTCTAAAGACAATTGACTTAATTATTTTATATTAGAAGGATTTCTTAATAGAGGGGAAATAAAGGTTAGAGACTATTATGGTAGAAATAAACCTATAGGTTTACTATTTTAAAGATTATTAAAAAGATAAGTAAATTTTAGATAATATAAACTAATTAGTAGAAGAAGAAGACTATTATTTAATAAAGAAGAAAAAATAGCTTTAAAAATTGTTTTTTTTTTCTTTTCTTTTTAGTTAAATTGTTTTTATTATTAAGATTATAGTTAGTTAAATAAACTATTTATCTAGCTTATTATATTATAATTTAACTTTTTTTTAGACTTAGTTATATAGATTTATATTGATTAAGTATAAAAGTATAAGTATTTATTTAAATTATATTGTTAAAAGAATGTTAACAATTATTGTCAAATAATAGTAGGTTTAAATAAAGCTATTATTTATCATAAAGTAGTATTTTAGTTAGTTAGTTAGTTAGTTAGTTAGAATAGTTATATAAAAGAAACTAGATAATAGATAATTATATAAACTTTATAAATAAGATAATATTATCATAGGTTATAAATCTTATATGATAGCTTTAATACCTTTCAGCCTTATATATATATAGTAACCACCCAAATCACTACTATCACCTATATAAGACTATAGTCAAAGAATAGGATATATTTAAGAGCTGATCAAACTTTAGAGAAATAGCTTAAAGACAATTGACTTAATTACTTTATATTAGAAGGATTTCTTAGTAGAAGGGAAATAAAGGTTAGAAACCTTTATAGTAAGAATAAACCTATAGACTTACTATTTTAAAGGCTATTGAAAAAGTAAGTGAATTTTAGATGATATAGACTGATTAGTAGAAAGAGAAGACTATTATTTAATAAGAAAAAGAGGGTAGCTTTAAGGATTGTTTTTTTTTTCTTTTTTTTTTTAGTTAAATTATTCTTATTATTAAGACTATAGTTAGTTAAATAAACTATCTATTTAGCTTATTATATTATAATTTAACTTCTTTTTAAGCTTAATTGTATAAATTTATATTGATTAAATATAAGAGTATAAATATTTATTTAAGTTATATTGTTAAAAGAATGTTAACAACTACTGTCAAATAATAGTAGATTCGAATAAAGCTACTATTTATCATAAAGTAGCATTTTAGTTAGTTAGTTAGTTAGTTAGTTAGTTAGTTAGAATGATTATATAAAAAAGACTAAATAGTAAATAATTATATAAACTTTATAAATAAGACAATATTTAAATATTTATTAAATTATAAATAACTATAATATAAAAGGGTTTTTTATTAAAGAAATTATATAAAATATAATAGTAAAGTTGATTAGTTAGCTTAAAGAAAGAATTTAACAACTAAAAGTCAAAAAATAGACTAAAATAGAAAATATTATAAATATATCGTCTAATAAAAGCCTAGTCTTTAAACTAAGAAAGAAGAAAGCTATCCTTTTTAACTTATTAAAATTTAAAAATATATAAAATACTTTCTAAGTATAATTTAGAGAAATAAAGAATAAATTAAAGGTAGATAAAATAGCTATTGAAAGTATTTAAGACTAATTTGCTTATATCTATTTAAGGTTAAGAAAACTTTTATAGAATATAATAATAGCTTTTGTTAAGAAAGAAGGTTTAAATAAAGCTTATAATCTTAATCAATATTTAAAATATCTTTATAAATATTATAAAAACTTAAATATATAACGTTAAGCTTAAATAATCAATTAATTAAGAGATTTAAAATAATAAGAAAATAAGAGTTTTATTATATTTTTATCAAAATTTAAGAAAGAATTAGCTAATAATAAAAAAAGAAATTAGTATAATATTATTTAAATTAACTATTTAAAAAAGATACTAAATAAACGATTAAAGATAGTTTTAATCTATCTTTCAAACTTATCTACTTTATATAATAATTTTGTTTAAATCTTATAGTAAATAGAATCTAAAATAGATAAATTAAATATATTTATAAGAAGATATAAGATTATAAAAGATTCTATATAATAAGGTTTATAAAAGACTATTA